AAACTATATTAAAAATAGCGTAGACGTAGCTCACTTACAGCGGGTTTTATAGAAAACCAGGCTTTGCTTGGAGCAGCGTTTCCGAGCCGAAAAGCTCTTCTTCTCGGAGCCGTCGAGCACTCCGGGGCTTCCGCCTCGTGCTAGGGAGGTTCCCTAGGCTTTTCGGGGATTTCGGGGCTAGAGAGAGGTTCTAGAGAAGAGTAAAAAGAAGAAAGAATGGGAAAGGTGTGAAGAAAATGAGGGTGGGAGAGGTGGTATTTATAGGGTGAAAATGGCTGAACTTGGTGCCACATGTCACCATCTAGTGGCAAGACTTGGGGAGAAAGCAATGGCCAAGATTGTGCCACATCACCCATTTTCGCACAACACACTTCCGACTTCTAAAATCCGTAACTTTCACATACGACCTCCGTTTTTGACGTTCTTTATATCCACGCGTAGGTAAAAATAATATCTACAACTTTCATTTTGACTCCGTTCGGCTAATTCTCGACCGATCTTAAATTTAACAGTACGAGGCGTTTAGACTGTTAAATGACCGCGAAGAATTCGTAACTCCTTCATACGGACTCCGTTTTCGTCTGTCTTTTTACCGTTGAGTTCCTATTAATGAGATCTTCAACTCTCATTTATTTCACGTAAGCCAAAAACCGCTCGAACTAAAATTCGAGTTTCGGGCTGTACACTGCTAAGCCGAATCTTAGAAAAATCATAACTTCCTCATACGAAGTCAGATTTGGGCGTTCTTTTTATCGACGCTCTTAGTTTAACATATTCTACGACTTTTGTTTAGATTGCTAAGGCTAAAAAGTCTTCTATCGTAAATTCACTATTTACGTCTTCCGGTGCTGTGCCGGTTTTGCCGTAAAACTTCGGCGGGCCATAACTTCTTCGTTATAACTCGGATTTCGGCGTTCTTTATATGTACGGAAACCTTGTGACATATTCTAAACTTGGTTAAGACTATTCATTCTAAATAATCTTTTGTCAAAAAGTCATTTTTGACCCCTATTGCCTCTAAATTGACTAGCCCAGATCTGCGGGCGTTACAACGTAGGATGTTATTTTGTGTAAAACCCATCAATAATAACAAATGGATGAAATACATCGATAACATGTTTGTTGGGCCTAATACTCTCGTTACATGGTTAATGGACCCATAGGGATCCATTTAAGTGTATATTGGACGTACATTTCCATGTCATGTTAATTGGGCCTTTGTGGTCCATTTACATGTTAATTTGGGCCTAAGCTATGGATCACATATCTATTGGGCATGAATTACCCTTTTACATGTTTATTGGGCCTTAGTGGCCCATCCATATGCTTAATTGGGCTTGGATTAAAAATCATATGTGTAGTGGGCCTTAAATGTCCCTTACATATCCATTGGACTTCATACAATCACTTACATACTTTGGATTTGAAAACTTAAAACATATACGTAAACCTTATTCATGGTGTGATATAGTAATCGTAAACAAGTTAAGGATGTAGTGAGACTTGTCGGTTGACACCTTTGAGTGTATGATTATAGCCTGTAGTTATAACCAGAGTCTCCTGGAGGGAGAGCGGGAGTTGTGTATAGATCTATACGGGGGTGACACCCCCCATGCCTTAGCTGTTCGCTACAGCTAGACTAGGCCAGTCTAGAGCAACAAACCTTACCTTAATCGAACCGGAGCCTGAAAAACACCAAGACAGACGAACTAGTCATTATCATGCATGGTTGTAATGACTCACTTAAAGACTAAATCCATCAAAGATTTTGGTATACTTATACAAATCTCGACAAAACTAAAAACATACATTCATCAACACTCGGTTTTGGGAATTTACGATTACAATACTCTCAAAAGCAGAAAATATTGGATTTTCTGGGATGAATACATGTATACATTACTTTTACTTACGACAGAAAATACAGGATTTTCTGGGCTGCATTTCATACACATCTTCAGAAAACAGAAAACACACATGCATTAATACTTGATTTTGTCACATCACATTCAAACCATTTTTCAGAAAATATCGGATTTTTTGGTGTTTTACTAATCATGCAAAACTTTTATTCAAACATGCTTATGAACTCACAAACATTATATATGTTGACGTTTTCAAAATAACTTGTATTATCAGAGAATCGTTAAGCGGAAAGGTCGGCAGGGAATGTGGAATTTATTGTATTTTGTTATCATTGTACATCGAACTTTCTTTTTGGCATGTAACTTATGATATTATACTTGATGTAAAAAATGTTGGTTGTATTTTGATATGTATGATGATGGTGCTGTATTGTTTCAATTATATATATTGTGATGATATTACAAGATGAACTCATGCACAAGCCTCCAGACGTTTCTACCGTCTGGTTCGGGGGTGTGACACATATTATTAATTAGTATTTAATTAGAAATTAATTTGTAATTAATTTTTTTTAATTAAAGGAACAGATTAAAAGTACAGTGGTTATTTTGTAATTATTTGATAGTTGAGGCTTTAGGCTATTTGATCATCCTTATTAGGGATAGGCCAAAAATCCTAGAAGGATCTAGGAGTTTTCGTCCATGGCCTAAGGAAAGGAGGTCCATGGACTTGCTTAGGCCCTAAGCTAAGGAATTAGGGTTTCTATCCTGAAACCTTAGCTATAGGGGTGAGCATGGTGCGGTTTGGTGCGGTTTTCAGACCAAACCGAACCGCAAACCGCATGGTGCGGTTTTTGCATTCTTAGAACTGTTGGGTGCGGTTTTGCAATGGTTCGGTTTTTCGGTTTTTAAATGCGGTTTTGGTTTGTATCGGTGCGGTTTCGGTTTTTAAACCGTGTTAAGAATTTGGTGCAGTTTTTTTTATGTTTTTTTGTGCGGTTTTTTAAAACTGTAAGAACTGAAAACCATGTGCATATAAGCTTGTATTGTGCTATTTTTTTTAATACATTCATTTTCAGCTCAAAACAAAATTACATAATAAAACATTGTAAGTCGTTTAAAATACAACTTGTGACCACTCTTAAAAACTAATTAATGATTGAAGGTTGGTTGATTTTGAGTTAATTTGTTACAAGCTTATTAGATGTAATCGATTAGTACGTTTGGCTAATAATAGAACATTTCTTTTGCACCCCATATAGTTTTATACAAACACAAAATAAACATATAATAAATATATTATCGTTTATAACTATTTTAAATAGAATGTATATAATATACATTGATTGACTTATTACTATACACGCTTGCGGTGCGGTTCGGTTTTGATGGACCGGTTTTTAGGATAGAAACCGCACCGCACCGTTGACCTTCGGTTTTTGCAAAAATTAAATCCGCACCATTGGTTTTTGCATCGGTTTCGGTTTTTCGGGTGCGGTTTATTGCGGTTTTGTCGGTTTTTCTTTAGTCGGTTCGGTTTTTGCTCACCCCTACTTAGCTAGCCTCAAGTATAAATAACCCCCTTAGGCTATAGATTTCGTCCACCCTTGGAAAAACCCCAGAAGAGCTGATTTTTGGAGCAAGCCACCCTCTATCCTCTTTCTCATATTCATCCTCTCACTCAAGTGTGTTTGTGATACTACATTTTTTGGTACTTGTTCTCAAGAGCAAAGGGAATTCAAGAAACTAGTTTTTTATTACTATATAGCAACAAAGGTATGCATTCTAATATTTGATTTGCAATTTTCGAAAATAGTAGATGCATGCTAGGTTTTCTTTTGTGTTCATTTGTTGTATGTGTAATAGAGAAAACATAGATCCAAAACTATGGTTGCATGCACACTTATGATTGTTTGTATAAAACACATCAACAATAACTTTAGGACTTACAAAGGTACAAAAGCACTGCAAGATGCAGAGGTAGAAGCTTGATGGCCAAAAGTATGCACCCAAGGAGTTTTCTTCTTCTTCAAAGAGCCAAAAACCACCAAAAGAGCTCTTAAGATCAACAATGGAGGCTAAAAACGATTTGGGCAGGAATGAGGTGATGGAGGCTGAGGGTGTGCAAACCCTTGCATACCACTTCTCTTAAATAGGGAGCAAAACATGGGATTGGGGTTGTCTGATCTCACGTCGTGAGATCCTAACCCTCACGTCGTGAGCCCAAAAATGGCTACGTGTCTCAAGCTGAAGTCACACCATGAGACCCTATCTCTCACGTCGTGACCTTCAAATTTTGGGTTTTTCATTCTTATTAGCTCAAAACATTGAAAGATCAATTACCTACATTAGAGGTTACATTATTATTTATTTTATCATAAAAAATCCCATCATATTTTTTAACAAAAGAATTTCATTTATTTAATTTTCTCAAGTATCGACCATTTATCGGGTTACCTTTCTTCAACAACTAACCCCATAATCTAATTTGAAATTGCTTTATTAGCAAATGAGTTTTTATGTGAATGTGAGTAGTAAATTATGGTTGTTACCCAAATCAAAATGCATTTTTTTCGGTTTTATATTTTTATTTTGTCCATATTATGTCATTGTTGGTTGATGGATTTCATTGAATATGTCTTTAGTTTTTTTCTATGAACAAGTTTAAGCAATGGTTGGTTTTGTCACATGAACCTCCATTTGGGGTACAATGTCTTGATAAGAAAGATATTAAAACTATAATATCATAACATAAAGAAATGAAAGTATCAAAAATTTTCATTGTCTTCCTCAACCATATGCTTTTTAATGCAAGACAAGAGAGAGAAAAAACAAATTGTCCTGCTTTTAGTGAGTTCTATTGGTAGGATTGGAACTGATACCGATGTTAATTGAACAAAAATTGTATTTTTTTTTTGCATCCAAGAAAAAATCTAAAAAACATGAATCTCATCCTCATCAAATATAATCCTAAAAAGCTAGTCTAACAAAAAAGACTAAAAATTAAACCACCAACCAAGGGTCAAAATGAAAAAGTTGGCTGAAGATGAAATTGATCAAATAGGTCAAAATACGCCTAAAATACATAAAAGAACTTGTACTCTCACTAATTTATCAATTTATCCATTTACTTTATGTGTATTAATTCAAACCACTACATATTTTATTTTTGACCCTTTAGGACAGCCATTTTTGTCGGCTACCCTCTTTGGAGAAAAGAGAGCAAATATATGACGTGTCTTTGTGAACGATCATATCTTTGGTCGTAGAAAGGAATATTTTTGCCCGGTTTAGAATAAACCCCGTATGTCAAGGAACAGGTTATCCGGTTTAACCTTATCACAACAACGTACAATATCTCAAGCATAAGATACAACAACGAAGGAACACAGATTTTTCATATAAATAGAATATACGCACATGGTATCAGGGTTTTGATCGTAAAGCATTCTCATCTACGTATTTTCTCTCTCTACCTCCCACCGCCTCTCCATCTCTCTCTAGAATTCTCACCATGCCTCGCAGAAGCTCCGGCGGTAAGTTTTTCTTCCGATCTAAGATTTTTATAGCCTAAAATTCTCGATTCTACATTTCTCCAATACTTTGATATCTAATTTGCAAAGTCACCGACTATCGAACATTTCATTTCAGTATTAGGGTTTCTAAACCTTCGTTACATTTCCGTGATTGTTGGAATGATTAATTTTATGAATATAACTGTAGTTTTTTTACCTTGGATATTAATTGCAATTGAGTCTGTATACCTTCATGATTTGATTGGGAAATCGTTGATCCATGGGGCTATGGATATTCGGTATTTGCTTTCTAATATCTAAAGCATCTCACGAAGGGAAACTTACAAATTACAATGATGCTTATTGTATAATCCTTTCATAAGATACACAGCGCATGAATCTGCCCAATTTTTGCGTATTTTGCTTATGTTTGGTTATCTTACAGGAAGGTCAGCTAGGGCACCTGCTCGTGCTCCAGCACGCAACCCACCAGCTCCAGGTAAAGTTTTTTAGCCATTTTTTCAAACTCCAAAATCAAATTCATATAAATTTGTTTCTTCTTCTTCTGATTAAAATCTGCCATTGATGATTGTGGTGTTGCAGCAAGCCGAGCACCCCCTCCTGCTCCTGTTCAGCAGAGTAGCGGTGGTGGGTCGATGCTTGGAGGCATTGGTTCAACTATAGCCCAAGGTAGGTTTTGCAATTTGCAGACATATATAATCAATCATCCATAAGTGTGATAAACTAAAGTCCATGTTCTGAAACTGTGATTATGCACTTCTTTAGGCATGGCTTTTGGTACTGGAAGTGCTGTTGCTCATAGGGCTGTGGATGCTGTGATGGGTCCTCGTACAATTCAACATGAAGCTGTTGTTGCTGCTGCTACTGATATGCCTACAAACAACACTGTATCTGATGCTTGTGGTATGCACACCAAGGCTTTCCAAGATGTATGTCTTCTGATTCTTGCCATTTTATATCTCTTTGTTTGACAATCGATCTTTTGATGATTATGTATGAATACCATTCATGTTTTTTTTTGTGCAGTGTATTAACAGCTCTGGGAGTGATATTGGGAAGTGCCAGTTTTACATGGATATGTTGGCTGAATGCAGAAGAAACACAGCTCTGAATGCTTGAGTGTATGCAATTTCACACAACACATTACATTCATATGAAATGAAACTTTATTTTTTGGGTATTGTTGGAGTGGTTATATGAACTTTGGTGGCTAATAAATGATCTTGATGTTCTCTTCATCATCATGTGATTGTATGATGGGTTAAAAGTTAAAACCATGTGGTGTTATGGATATCTTGCTTTCATTTGTATGCATTTGTTCTTTCAACAATCCTCACTTTTTCTTTCAGTTTTTTTTTCTTCATATCCCTGACCTTTTTACGTGTGGATTTGTTGTGTTCTTTGTTTAATAGAGAAAATGACACAAATATAACTTTTCGCAAAATAGTTTGGTCCACTGCGAAAATGTGGTGAAGTTTTTGGCAAAAGTTGGTTCATGGGAACTGACAATACGAAGTTGGTTCATAGTGATAATGCGAAATTATTGTTATCAAAGTGAAATTGACAATGTTTTTTTCAAAATAAAAAATAAAAAATCTTCACATCAATATTTTAGACTTAAAACACCTTATCCGAAATGAGCTCACTCTATAATCTATAATGTTTAGTTTTCTTTTGGATTTAAACCTTTTTGGGTTCATACAAAGGGGATTTCTCGTCTCAAATATACATCTTTATTACCAAAAGATACGCCAAGTTGCCAATTGACTCAAACGCCGAGTGGAATAAACGTCAAAAGTATTTCCTATGTTTGATCTAACCATATGTAATATAACTCCTAATTTTTATAATTATATATTGAAGTTAAGTTACGTAAAACATAAGTATATGAAAAGGTTTTGTATTTACCATATAATTACTATCATATTGTCCAAAGATACAAGAATCAGTATCTACTTCTTAACCATTTGTTTTTGGGACATTTCCACTTGACTTGATGTCGAATAAGAAATAGTTACTCATTTTAGGATCTCTACCATAATGGCATCTTACTTCTTTCTCACTTTATATTTAGACTGACAATCTTCAACTCTCATATACTTGCTCATTGCCAAGGTCAAGGTGTGTTCTTATTCTTAGTTTGGTGACTAATTAAGCACTGCAATTCATCAATACTCAGTTTTAGTAAAGTTTGATATGCTTCATTTTCAACAACTTTTAAAAAAGATTTTTTGCAACCTAATTTTTAACAACAAATATACTTATGCATAAAAAATTGGATCTTTAATTCTCATCAGTGAATAACTTTCCAGGAACGTTATTTCAGAAACAACCCTGCTCCTCCCAAACTCTAACATACAAACACTTTATTTTGATGACAATTCAGGTGCAAACAACCTGCAATTGTTTATGAATTCAACATCAAACTAGACCAAGTTGAACACAAAAAGTGTACATCTGGTTTAACATCCGAAAAATGTCTTAAATATAGACCAGTTTTGCCAATTCCCACTGTCAACTTTGTGCCTATTTTAAAGAAAGTGAAAAACTTTAGCTCAGAGACAAATATTGCGATTACTTTATTACTCTTATTTAAATACCATTTATCCATACAACATTTAACAAGTTGAAAAAATAACACATTCAATTATGAAGATTTTTGAGAAGTTGGCATTGCAAGTGAAACACCCGAACCACCCGGTAAATCCTTCCATTGCTGAGTCACAGTCTTGATCTGTGTATAAAAGTTAACCCCTGCCTTCCCTGCAATTCCACCACCAAAAACCAAACTCAATCTCAATTTCAATTTCAATTTCAATTTCTTTTACTACATCACAAGGGGCATATTTGTAAATTCACCCACCGTAGAAGTTAAGGTCACCAGCAAATGACGCCTTCGACCCCGTAAACGAGAAAAACGGTAACGGAACTGGAATCGGAACATTTATCCCAACCTGACACACACACACACAAAAAAAAAAAAAATAAGTTTTAATTTTCATATTTTAATAGTTTAAATGTTTTCTTAACTTCATAGGATATGTAAAATTACTTACCTGCCCTGCTTCGATGTCAGTTTGAAATTTTCTAGCAGCCACACCAGATGATGTGAAGATAGCTGCCCCATTGCCATACCTGCAGATTTTTTTTATTTTTTTATTTTTTTTAAATATTTTAAATAATGAAAGCAAAACAGATGGGAGTATGTTTTAAACATAAAGAGAGGAATAAATTTTACTTATTTCTGTTGGAAATATTTATGGCTTCTTCCAAGCTGTCGGCCTGAAAATTAAAAAGGTGAAATTACGATATTAGCCCTCAAGAGAATGAACGTAATCAGTTAAATAAGCATGATTATTATACATAGAAAGTATCAACACACCTGCATGCAAATAAGAACTGGACCAAATATTTCCTCCTGCATTAAGATAAAAGTTTAAAACGTGTAACATATTTTGTACAAAAGACATAAATACCCTTCCTCATTCTCATCACTGAAAATAGCACTAGAAAAAGCTTATACCTTGTAACATTCCATATCTTCAGTAACACCAGACAAGATTGTGGGCCCAACAAAGTTCCCTTGTTCATATCCTGGAACCTAGTCAACATCAAAACAAACACAATGTATGTTTATTGAATGGGACCAAATGACCATTTTGCCCTCCAAAAAACAGATTTCACATATGAAGTTGAAAAAAAAAATACCACAATATCTCTTCCATCAAGCAGTAGTTTAGCACCACTTTCAACTCCACTCTGAATCAATCTGCACACTCGTTCTTTTGCCTGATAAATATAAAAACAGAATTCAAATAAAAAATTTAACAAGAATTATTGTTTATGTACATAATATAATAATATTTAAAATTAAATTTTATCTACCTGTTTGCTAATAACTGGACCTAGGTCAGCATCAGGTTCTACTCCTGCATTTACTTTTAAGTTTTTCGCACGCTTCACTAACTCATTTTCCCTTAAAAATAAGATTAAATTTCACTTCAAAATTCACAATAGAATTAAAATAAAAAACTAAAATAATATAATAATAATACCATTGTGTTGCATCTCCAACAAAGATTACAGTGCTTAAAGCCATACACCTTTGTCCTGCAGCTCCAAATCCAGCAGCAACTAAAGCATTTAAAGTAGCATCAATATTTGCATCAGGCATCACAATTCCATGATTTTTAGCTCCCATATTTGACTACATTCATTAAAACTATAATCAGTTTTATATATATAGATTTATTTTATCAATTATCATCATAGAAAAAGATGAAAGAAATGATAATGATACCTGAACACGTTTCCCTTTTGCTGATGCTCTTGAGTATATATGCATCCCAGCCTTTGAGGAATTTATAATGGTAAAAAAGTAAAAGATTAGTAGCTATATATATATATATACATTTGTTGGATGAACTTTATTATGTAGAAAAGATTTTACATACAGTGTTTGAACCAACAAATGATATAGCTTTAATGTCTTCATCATCACAAATGGCATTAACAATATCCTGTCTCAAATTAAAAAAAAAAAAGTATTGGATTGATGATGCTAAATATTAGTTGTAATGAGAGAAAATAAGTGAGATGATTAAATTACATTGGTGCCATGAACAATATTCAAAACACCATTTGGTAAACCAGCTTCCATTGCAAGTTCTGCAAGCATCATAGAAGCCCCTGAAAAGAAAAAGTATGAATGTATTATATAACAAAAAATTTAAAAATAAAATTGTTTTGAAAAAAAAAAAGAGAGAGAGAGAAAGCAATGACCTGGATCTTTTTCTGATGGCTTTAGAACGAAAGTGTTACCACAAGTAACAGCAACTGGAAACATCTGCAAGAAAGATTAAATGGAAGATTCAAGAATCAAGAATCAAGATAACTTGTTCTTGTTTTTGTTTATTCATGGTGAAAGAGAGTAAGGGTAAATTGGGAAATGGGAATCATAAATGATAATCATACCCACAAGGGAATCATTGCTGGGAAATTGAAGGGGCATATACCAGCACAAACACCAAGAGGCTCTCTGATGCTATAAGTATCAATTCCATGAGATACGTTTGAAGCAAATTCTCCCATTTGTAAAGATGCCATGCCACTTGCATGTTCCACAACCTCTATAAAAAGAAGCACACAAATTAAAACTATTTCAAAATCTTGATTTGTTTTCTCACTTTCTACACTTTTAATCATGAATGAATTTACCTAGTCCACGAAACACATCACCCTGTGCATCCTTCAATGTCTTTCCTTGCTCTGTAGTAATGTTCATGGCAAGCTTATCCTGTCACAAGTATAATATTGATAAATACATATATGTATGTATGTATGTGTGTATATAATAACTATATGTTTATATATACATGCTAACCATGTCTCTTCTGATAAGTTCTTGAAGCTTTAACATGACACGTTGTCTGGTGGTGATTGGTGTGTTACGCCATGATGGAAAAGCTTGTTTGGCTGCAGATACTGCAGCTTTAAACTCCTCATGTTTTGTCAAGGGTAACTGAGAAACAACTTGCTGTGTTGCCTAACTCCATAATAGCAGTTGATTAGACAATAATAGTTACGATTCATGGATATGTATCATGTGAATAAACAAGAAACAAAAGGAAAAAGGGAAAAGGGAAAGAGTTTTAGGACTTACTGGGTTTATAACATCAATAAAATCAGATGATTGTGAGTTTACAAAGCTGCCTCCGATTAGGTTTGGGACTTTCTGATACAATTAGACCAATTAGTTCTTGATAGAGCCTAGAGGAAGTATTTTAATACCAAATGCAATAATGGAGAAAGTAATAGCTAAAACATATATACATGCTAACTATTAGAAATTACAAGATACACATTCAAACTAAAGAAACCAATTTGTTTTCATGTTCACATTGGTCAAAACAAACTACCTAATAAGTGATCTAAAAAAGAAAACTGGTACTTATCCAAGCTCAAAGATGAGAATGAATACGGTTCGATCTTTTCGCACCATTTTATAATGTCGTACTTGTAAATCTCAATCTATTTAGCAATTCTTTTCTCAGAAATCCATATCAATTTACAGATTAGCAGGTAATCCATTAACACTCAAAACGATATTACTTTTTCGGGGTTAACAAACTAAAACCGAAAGTTGTTTCACCTTTTTACATTTACCTTTACTTCCAATTCCTAGATATAGAAAGAACTTGCAAAAAATAGATATTCAGTCAGCATCAGTAAAGCACACAACCATACCAGAGGATCGCTGTGTCTCACAGACTGCTCAGTAGCGGTAGAGAGATTACAATTTTTTAGGGCAAATATTTGAGGATTCAAAGGTCTCACTGTTACACAATCATTCGCAAAAACGAATCAGTAAAATTCGTATTAGCGCAAGCTAGAGTAGCAGATAATAACCAAAATCACTTAGTCAACAAAGAGAAGAGAAGTTTACCTCGTCGGATTGATAATCGCAGCATTTTTTTAGCGATGTACAGAGAGAATCTGTTAGAGGTGGATGATGATGCTCTTGATTTTGTTCGATATGACCGGATTTCCCTGGTTAATTTATAGGTAGAAAGAGTAGTGTGTGATTGGATTAAGTAGAAAAGTGTTCAAAACATAGAAACCTGACAAAATCTTGGGTGAGTGGAACGATTCTTTTATTAGTTGGGTGTAAAAATATTACAGAAATGATCCCTGTAGTTTGTTTAAATTTATATGTTCAGTCAAACATTTAAAATATTATGGTTTTTAAATCTTGCAGTTTTGGTAACTGGTTTTATCTAAAATAATTATCCTACATTTTTTGTAATTAAATTTGGCTTTTTATTATCTAAATAATTAATATATATATTTTAATATAGTGATCCACATACCTCACCACTTTTTTTTTTTTTTTTTTTTTTTTATTTATTCACATACTTTTTTTTTTCTCTCTGATGACCAAAAAACTTTGTTAACTTCCTATGCTATATCATTATCTCTTTTCTTCACCAAAATGTGAGTGAAGAAAAAGATGGCTTCACCTTATTGCCTCCACCTCTCTAACTTATTGTCGCATGTTATTACTAGAAAGAAAGATGGCTTGACCTCAACCCACATCAATCAAGTAGCTTGATGACGATATGAAGCTTTTTAATCGGATGTTGAGCGGACTTAATGAACCTATAAACACAACCAAACCCATCCTTGCTGATTTTTGTAGACCAATTAAAACTATTGGTGGTCAATTTATGTTTCTTTTGTCGCTATCACTGCCCCAACCCATCCCATCCCCTTTGACCACATTTGTCATTGATGAGTTCATTTCTTTTCAATATGTTCTATAAACAATCATAATTTGTATTAACATCGTTTTGTCATTAATGCATGATGTGTTAGAGGTACATACATCTCATCGTAGTTTTTTTTTTCGTGTATGCAATCCTAAATAGGTGAGTTTATTTTATGGGTTGAACACCTTTCTTTTCCACTACCGGACTATTAGACCATACTCAAGATGAAGTGGTCTATGAATGTTTATAGCAACTTTAACAGTTCATGCAAACTTATGACGACTACAGTCAATTGGGTATGGTCCATGGATGTTTATAGCAACTTTAAGGTAGTATTTGTTTTTTCTCTGTAGATCTGTGTGATCTCTTCTGTCTGCGCCGCGCAGATCACGCGCAGACATTAGTCTTCGCAGACTGTTTGTTTTTTTGAAGACTGCAGACCTAAAAATATTTACGCGCCCTCTTCTTAGCGTAGATGTGGACCATAGTCTTCTTAAATCTTCAGACATCTTCTAGCCTAAAAAACATATATATCTTAATTTTTTTCAAGTTCTTTTTTTTTAATTTATATTTTTTACAACTTTATTATGATACACAATTTGAAAAAAAAATTATAAAATTAAAAAAAAAAAACGTTCAACGATACAAATATGATATTTTTGATAAATTTATAAATAATATTAAATACAATAATAGTCGTTGAAGTTGTTTATATAAATATGAAAAAAAATCATAATATATTCTTATATTTTTTTGCCAAATTTTGTAAAACATTATTTAATACAGTATCGTCAATTTTTCGAGAAAATATTTATGGTACATTTTTAATGTATTTAATTGAAAAGATCGAAGTTTATTTCCATCCATTTATATATCAAATTCTTTGATCACTAATTATAATGTTTAGTTATAACTTTACAACCAAAGTTGTTGGTTTTTATCAAATATATACATTAATTTATAGTATTTTTATTTTTATTTTTTATATAATAATACATAAAAATTGATCTAGATTCGTTAATTATTTATAACAAAGTCATAAAAATATTAAAAAATCATTTTGAAGTTTAAAACAATCAGTTTATTTAGATTTCAGTTTATTTTAATAGCCCGCAGATGTTAAAAAAACAAACAGTCTTTTTTTTTCGGACTGCAGACGTTTGGTCCACCTCTTCCACTGCAGAGGTTTACAGATGTGGTCTGCAAACTGCATACATTTTGCCTCAGAAAAAACAAATAGCACCTAACAGTTCATGTCAGCTACAGTCAATTGGGTATGGTCTCTTAGCGACTATAATTATCTGAACTCATCGCTTGTTGCTACGATTATGAGTCCGAAAGGCATTTTGGTGCTCCACTTTTACAAAGCATAGTGTATATTGGACTACATCATTAGGATGCAATTTTATATTAAAAAAAAAAAAAAAAAAAAAAAAAAAAGATCAAACTATACTCATCATTAAATTATATATCATAGAAGAGCCACTAAGAGAAGAAATTTCAAAATGTCAAATCTCTTAAGAAAATTTGGTTGGGTATTTTTCCAAAAATATCATAATAAATGTTAGTGCCATATGCCACATAAACTATATGTCACATAAACCATGAGAACCAATAGTTAATCATAAATGAATTAAATTTGCTACCCTACTCCTATGTAATTTAATCTTCCTTTTATAATATATGTGTAGAAAAATCTTGTAGTGTTTGAGAATATTGGGAAAGCATTTAAGGTGTTGCAATTTCTCTTAACATATGTAATGAAATCACAAGGATTAGTTTGTTGCTTTTTCTTTTGGTATATATGGTTTTAATAACAACTAAAGTTTTCTTGTAATAAAAGTGATATCAAACACACTATGTACATTAAAAAATCTTTTAAATATATGAATATAAAGACATTTATAATACACACTGTATACTTGTAAGAAATAAAAAAGACATCAACATATCTTTTAATTATGAGAAATTATACAAATATAAAGACATACTATATATCTGTAACAAATAGAAAGACATTAACAATCTTTTAATTACTATATATTTGTAATAAATAGAAAGACATTAACAAATCTTTTAATTATTTTGTATTCTATGTAAAAACATCTATAATACATTGAATTCAATATAATTTAAAAGTTGTTTACATTATCATTTTATATTCTATATAATCCATTTAGTTTTTTCTTATAATTCATTTAGCATAAAATGAGTAAAGTAAACAATAAAACAGATACCCCGAAAAAGAGAAAGGAAGAAAGACATCTTTATATTATTTACAAATATTACTATATGATATGATGATATATATGGCCTCAAAATTGGAGAAACTTTTCTAATTCATCTACTGTGTAGATTTCATACCATGATTTTATATTTACACTTGACTTGACTCGAACACCTTCATAAATCAAACGGGCTAAAAGGGACGTTCAAAATCGGCATCTTTGACACCGTAATGTTCCCTCTAGCAACACCGAGCGCCACCGTATCCTCCACCGTAACAGGCTCAACTTCCACTATTGTCTCCGGCACAAACTTCTCTCCCTCCACCTTCGCCAACACCTCATACTCCATCTTCACACTCTCCGGCTTACTTCTCCACTCCGGATACCCTTCCAAAAACGATTCATTCCCGTTAAGCCTCTTCTCCGCCCCAAAACCCATCTTCACATACATCTGAGCAGATACATCCGCTCTCAAAAGCTTAAACGAACCACCACTGTTTCCGGTGGAGGTCAAGACTGCAGAAAGTAGCTTCTCTATCCCACGCAGGTTTGAGTTCGACCCATTAATGGATACCACCGGCCAGAAAGTGGGAAGATGGTCGGGAGAAAAGAAGGTATCATCGATAACGGAGATAGAGTTGCTTGTGTTTACCTTTGGGACGGAGGATAGTTCGACTAAACCAGGAGCAAGTCGCTTTAGCTTCAGCTTGTTGAAAGTCGGTGATGGTTTCGCCGGAGAATTGAGGGATGTGGGGCCTGTGATACGGAGAGAGAGGAGTTGGGTTCCGGTACGGAGGTGGTCGGAAAGTGCCTGGAGACCGGAAGCAAAATTTGTGTTTGATTTGTTGAAAGGAAGTGGGAGGTCAAGAGGGTGGCGTAAGCTGACGGATTTGGCGCCTTTCACAGTCACCACCGCGCCTTCTGCTAGAATTACTTTCTTCAGCTCACCGGCGTCAACATCATGCTGTACATCGTTTACAATGTTAAGGAAAATCGACAGAAAACGTTTTTGATTATATGATTAGGAATGAAACATACTGGCAAAAAGAGTCTCATGTCCTTGGCGTCTTGAATCCAGAGCTCCATCGGACCGGCGAGCTGGAATGGGGGTAAACTCGGCAACCGGTTGCCGGAAGTCTGCTTCTTCTGTACAAGTGGATTCTCGCCGGATAATTTTATCGGATCTTCCACTAGGAAAGTAGGCAAATCGACATACTCCCATTTGTTTACATCGTCCAAGAGTTTAATTGGAAGAACTTTGTTATCAATTTGTAGATCAAACTCCATGGATTGAGCTACTAAAGCACCCTTCAAATCAAACCCAAATAAGTTGAGATTGTCTGATTGACTCCCTAATCCCTGAACAATAGCCTCCTTCAAATCCTAAAAAGCAAACCAGGTAAATTAGATACAAATTTCCCTCACAGAGCAAAAGTAAAACGCAGAAGCAACCAAATATTGATATAAAGGAATCGACATTAAAACGTCAAAATTCATAAACTACTTACAGTTAGCGCTTTAGGATAATGACGATTAACATCTGGCATCGAGATTAGAGCTCTTATATCAGAAACTTGTATTATCAAAGCGAACAAACACACATACCCTGCGAAATTCAAAACCCTAAAATCCATCGATACGTGAAGAATGATGGCGAAGAGGATGATTAATAAAAAAATATATATAAGTTCTCAAATCAAAAAGAGATTCGATTTGAAATTGTTCTTGTATTTTTGAGATTTTATACTTCGAGATTTAGAGGCAAAAACGGTTAGAACTTGGAAGATGATTCTAGAGTCCGTAGGTATGACGCAGATATCATTCGTGGGTAGATATAATTGGTCCACATGGGATTGGCTCACGTGGAAGTCAATCATGATTGGGGTATTTGAAGTCAAAGTCAATCGTGAGTTTTAGGCGATTTTCCCGATCAAACGACGCCGTAGTAGATGAGAAAACGGACCACATAAATTCGATTTTACGAGAGTAAATTACAGAAATGGTCCCTGTGGTTTGTTTAAATTCGCAGCTTTGGTCCAACCTTTGAAAAACTGATACGTCACATCCCTATGGTTTTCAATTATTGCAGTTTTTGTCCTTTTGTCTGACTGTGTTATAAAAAGTCCGTTAAAATGACTAACGTGCCCTTCCATCCTTCTTCCTATATG